CCCCTTTGTGCGGGATGCGGGAGGCGCCGAGCCTCCATCACTGCCAATCAAACTTGTTTTTCTCTCTCCGCTTGCACTGCCCGCGCCGCGCACCGGGGGCGCTGCCGCCGCCGCCGCCCGCACAATGGGGCTCCGGTTACCGGCCACGGGCACCGGCACCGCGGCCAGCGCTGCGGAGCAGGATGCCCGAGCACCTCCCGCTGCCGCTGCCACCGCCGCGGCCTCGGCCGCCCCGCGCGCCCGGGCCGGGGGCTGCGGGGGGACACTGGGCTTCAGCACCGTCCCCTGGGGCTGGGGCTTCACTGGGGCCTGGGGCTCCCAAGGCTCCCGTTGACCCCCGGGCCCCCCGACTCTCCCCGGTTCGCCCGGGGCTCCATGTGAGGCCGCTCCAGCGACAGAGGCCCCGTTGGGTGCTCTGGCTGCAGAGTGAGGGCAGGGAGACATGGAGGCCCCAAAACCATTGGGGGTCCCAGTGTCTCGGTGCCAGGTCCACGGTGCCACTGCGGTGTCCCAGACCGGCGGCTGATATGCAGAGCTATCCCTGCCACCCCCTGTGCCACTGTCGCCCCTGGTGCCACTGTCACTCCGGGCACCACTGTCAGCCCGGGCACCACTGTCAGCCCGGGCACCACTGCCAGCCCCCATTCTGGCCCTTGGCCGCTGCGTCCCCATGCCGGGAGCAGCACTGGACCACGCTCCAGGTGCCAGGCAGCACCGGGAGGGCAAAACCCCGCTGGTCTCAAGGGTCCCTTTACCCCATTGTGGCTGCGGCGGCCTGGATGCCCCCCGTTCCTGGCCGGAGCGAGGCGAGGGGCCGGGCGGGCGCTGAGCGCGGCGTCCTGCCCGCAGGTGGTGAAGGTGCCGGGCAGCGAGCCCGAGCGGCCCCACTTCCTCTTCGTGAAGGCGCTGGCGAGCCGGGGGCGGCTGGAGGCCGTCACGCAGCAGATGGGCTACCACCCGCAGTACCTCGACAGCTTCCTCAAGACCCAGCACTACCTGCTGCACATGGACGGGCCGCTGCCCTTCGCCTGCCGCCACTACATCGCCATCATGGTGAGCGCCGCGCGGCCGCCGCGGGCTCCTGGCGGCACCGCGCGCTCGGGTCCGCGCGCCCTTCCTTGCGGAGGGCGCTCAGGGCCCCGGCGCTCCCGCAGGCGGCCGCCCGGCACCGCTGCCGCTACCTGGTGAACCTGCACGTGCTGCAGTTCCTGCGGGCGGGCGGCGAGCCGCAGTGGCTGCGCGGCCTCGACTTCATCCCGCCCAAGCTGCGCAACCTCAGCGAGATCAACAAGATCCTGGCGCACCGGCCCTGGCTGGTCACCAAGGAGCACATCGAGGTAGCGGTGCCGCGGAGGGCCCGGCGGCGGCGGGGCGGGCGCCCGCCCGCGGCCCCCGCTGCATCGCCGGCCCCTCTCGCCCCTCAGAAGCTGCTGAAGATCAGCGAGTGGAGCTGGTCGCTGGCGGAGCTGGTGCATGCGGTGGTGCTGCTCGCGCACTGCCACGCGCTCGCCAGCTTCGTCTTCGGCTGCGGCTGCGAGCCCGAGGAGGCGCCGGGCGGCCGGGGCCCGCTGCAGCCGCTCTCGCCCGGCAGCCAGTGCTTCTGCGAGGCGGCCGGCGGCCTCGGCTGCGCCCAGGAGCTGCTGCGCGGCGGCCGCAAGCGGGTGAGCCCCGGGGACGCGGCACCGGCCGCGGCCCTGGCACGCTATGGTGCTCACCCGCCTTTCCCAACAGTCCCTAGACTCCTGCATGGAGCTGGATTCGCTCCGCGAGCGGATGCAGCGGATCCACGTGGAGACTGAGGGCAGGGAGGAGACGCGGCCGCCGCAGCAGGAGCGGGAGGAAGGTGAGGGGCTGCCAGGGAGGGGGCTGCCCAGGCCAGCGGGCCGCTCCAAGGAGGCCCTGCGGGCACCGGAGCGACGTCTTCGCTGGCCCCAGCGCGTCCTCTCCTCCCCCGCAGACCTCGACGGCGAAGCCACCCGCGCCACCAACCTCGCCTGCTACCTGCAGGACCCCGACTTCGGCTACCAGGACTTCGCCCGGCGCGACGAGGAGCAGGCGCAGGTATTCCGGGTCCAGGTGAGGTTCCTGCTCTGCCGGGGGCATGAATGTGCAGGCCGCTCTTCCTGGTGGGAAGCGGCCGGTGGCGGGAGCACCCTCGGAAAGGGGATCTATCCAAATGCATCAGGGACAGGGGGAGCATCAACCTGCCCTCGAGGACTTGTCTTCATTGCCTCCACGTCCAGGCCAGGCTTGGGGCAGCGCAGAGGCTCCAGTTATCCCAAAGCGCCCATGCTGGGGGCTCCGTGGTGTCCGTTGGAGCTGAGCTCTTCACGGTCCCCACCGGCTGCTCCTTGCCACGGTGACAACCTCGCTGCGCCCCACAGGATTACTCCTGGGAGGACCACGGCTTCTCGCTGGTGAACCGGCTCTACTCCGACATCGGGCACCTCCTGGACGAGAAGTTTCGCCGGGTGGGCGGCCTGCAGAGCAGCGCCATGGCCAAGCGGCAGGGCTGCGAGCCCTCCGTCTTCAAGCGCGGCATCTGGAACTACATCCACTGCATGTTCGGCATCAGGTAGGGAACCCGCCGGGCGCCGCGGGGCTCCGCGGAGGCAGGACCTGGTCCCCTCCATGGAGCACGAGGTGCGCGGAGGGCGGCGCGGGCGCCGAGCATCCCGCCGCTCCCGCAGGTATGACGACTACGACTACGCCGAAGTGAATCATCTCCTGGAGCGGATGCTCAAAGTTTACATTAAAACCGTCACCTGCTACCCGGAGAAGACCAACCCGGAGATGTTCGACAGGTTCTGGAAGCAGTTCAAGCACAGCGAAAAGGTAGGCGGCCCCGGAGGCGGGCCGGGGGCGGCGGGGCCGGCGGCAGCGCCCACGCGGGTGCCCTGTCCCGCAGGTGCACGTGAACCTGCTCATCCTGGAGGCCAGGATGCAGGCGGAGCTGCTCTACGCGCTGCAGGCCATCACCCAGTACATGGTGGCGTAGGCGGCGGGGCCGGGCCGCGCGCCGCCGCGGCCTCGCTCCGCGCCCTTCCCTCCACCGTCTCGTTCCCTTTCTGTTATTATTTTTGTTCCGTTTCCTTTCGTCGTTGTTTCTTTCCTCCTGGTGGGGAGCGCCCCGCGGCCCCCCTCAACGTGCAATGACCAAACTGTGAGGCGAGGCCGCGCGGCCGCCGCCGCCTCACGGCATCGCGGCCAGGGCCGCGCGCGTCCCCACGTGCCAAACCCCCCGCGGCGGCTCCAAACTGTGAAGCTCCGGCCAGCCGGGGACCCCCGCGCTCCCCCCTTGCCCCGCTGCTCCGTCCCGGTGCCGGGAGGTGGACGAGGAAGGGCCGGGGCGCCCCGGCGCGAGGGCGGCCGTCCCGGCCTGGCGCACGCTGCTTCAGTCGAGCTGTTTACTGCGTAAATGTACGGGGACAGAGAAAAACCTTGTGTATGGAAGCTACAGAAAAGAAAAAAAAGCCTATTTTTGCTATAAATATATTATGTTTGACACGGAGGCGTGCTTGCTCGCTGGCGGTGGGGTGGGGGACAGGCTTGTGTGGATTGGGCAGGGTGACCGCAGCGCTCGGAGCGCTCCGGCTGCTCCCGGCGGGAAATGCAGGGAGGTTCCCAAGGGGCTGTGGGACTCCGGTGAGGAAGAGGAGGGCGCTGGAGGAAGGCGCTGGCCTCTCTCCTGATGGGTGCTGGAGAAAGGAGCATTTCCTTCACCTGGGCTGCAACCCAGGGGCCGGACACACTGTGAGCAGCACCATGGCAGGGACGAGGTGCTGCTGTAATGTCACCCATCCCAATCTTGGGATAGGGAGCAGCAGGGAAGCAACCCGCTCCGCCGCGGGCAGAGCCAGCCCCGCAGCCCCTTTGCAGCAGCAGCTCCAGGGAAGGGCGGCGCTGGCAGCCAGGGCGCTGCAGCAGCCTCCAGGCTTTCCCGCAGCTCTTCCCGCGGGAGCGGGGCCACCAGGACCGGTGGCCCGGAGGACGGCGCGAGGGGCTGGCAGCGGTGCAGGCAGGTGGCACGAGAGCTCCTTGCAAGAGCCGAGCCGCTCCCAGCCGTACGGTGGGAGAAGGGCTGTGGGCTCCGCGCTGCAGGGATTGCTCCGTGTGCAGCACCACCGAGGGAGCCTGTCCCACCAGGACCCTCCGGAGCGGCTCTCGGAGCAGGCAGGGGCCACCCCAGTTCATGGACGTGCAGCCCCGCTCACCAGCTCTCCTCCGTGTTGCTCTTGCCACCGTGTCACACGTGTCCCCATCACTGGTGGCGCAGGAAGGACGTTCACCAACACGCAGCGTGTTGTTCCGGGCAGGAGCGAGGCAGGAATGCTGGGAAGCAGCTTCTGCACTGCCTCCGGATACTCCTGCTCCGCAGCCAGCTCTTCCCCAGGCCAAAACATTTATGGAGACAACTCGGGAGAGGCAAGAGGTCACCCAAGCCCGGCCTAGCCCCAAGCCCGCACTGGAGTGACCTGGTTAGGACGGGGCGCAGCAGGACACAAAGCCACTGGGGCAGATGGTGGCAGCCGAGTTGAAGGCGGCCCTGATCCCACCGCGGGTCCCCGCTCGGGCCCTGCCTGCGCTCTGACCCCTAACGATGGTCAAGTCTCAGAGGCCACAGCCCAAACCGGCATCTGCACCGTAGCGGCTGCCGTGGGGAAAGAACCCGTCCCCATGCAATTGCCCCAAGTTTGGAATGTGTCTGCTCTGCTCTGTTCAACAAGTGCTATATTCACCAATCCATGTTGTTTTCCCTTCTGTATGTCCAGGCAGAGCCAAGTAGCTTCCTGGGAACAGATGTGGGGTAGACGGGTCCCCTGAGGATCTCCTCCTAATCCTCAATATTTGGAGACTGGCTTAAATCTTGAAGCAGGAGGCTTAAGATCCCTCCCAGAGTCATTTGCAGTCAAGTGTTTTAACAGTATTATTTTTCAGGGGCATTCCTTACCAGGGCAACATTGAATGTAAAATACATAGGCCTTTGAATGCAAGTTCCTGGCCACGACATACTGTGGTAATTTAGCACGGAAGAATTTCTCCTCATTATTTTTAAAAGCATCCCCATTTTGATTCCACCAACCTGAGCAGGTACAAGGAGGAGATGCTCCAGATCTTCCGCAAGCTGCTTCACCTTGGGAGCAAGTGTCAGCAGGTGCTCATGGACAGGATGCCTGCAAGACCAGGACCTGCATCTTTATGTACCAAGAGGTAACTGGGAGAACCGGGAGAATCACAGACTGGTTGAGGTTGGAAGGGACCTTTGGAGATCATCCAGCCCAACCCCTGCTCCATCAGGGACACAAGGCCATCTGAATGCAGCTGTGCCCGGAGAACCGCGGCACTACCTGCACCCGGGCCTAGAGGGGCAAGAAATGAAGTTCAGGGTGATGCCAGAGCAGCCCTTCAACGAGGGCTTCAATTCAGCAGTGCCACTTTCACAGCCTGGCCACCCCACGGGTCCCTACGTGGCCGCAGCAAGAGGCCCTGCACTCGGAGCACCCCGGAGCCTCTTGTCCCCCTGTCCCCCTTCCATGCCCGGGCAGCGAAGGGGATTCCAGCAAGGCCAAGGCAAGAAGCCGAGGGCAAAGCCAGAGCCGGACGTCGCCGGCGGCACGGAACAAACGGCACGAGGCAGCGCAGAGGATTACAGGGTTTTATTTGTCAAACATTCCCCCCTAGTCTAGCACATTCTACAGTCTTGCTAGCACAGATGGTAACAAAGAGCCTGTAATGGTTCAGGAGTTAACACGGCTACCGAGAGCAAACAAAAGCAGAGATTTATTATGTGTAAAAAAAAGAAAAAAAAAAAGAAAAAAAGAAACAGAAAAACTTTGTGAGAAACGGGTGGAAGGGAGGGCGCGGTGGGAATGGGGTGGGAGCTACATGGGCCAGTGGTGCCTGCCCTGCACGCAGCAGACGTCTGCGCTAGCAGTGCAGACAGCGTCCCCGCCACCGCACCACGTGAGGACTCCACCATCCCAACGGCCGCGTTTTTCCCTATGGAATCCCCCCCACTGCCCTGGGAAGGCTCTTGCAGCAGCAGGAACCTTCTCCCGAGCGGCCGGAGCCTCCAAGGCACCTCGGGAGCCGCAGGGCCCCAGCTGCCGGCACCCCCTTGCACTGCCGCCCATGAGCGGCTCCGCGGCACAGCCACCGACACGGAACCACCAGCTCCTTCCTCTCCAGCTTCCGATGCCTCTTCTCCCCGTTTCACACCCTACGAGATGGGATTTTGCCCCCGCTGCTGATCATTTTGCATTGCCCACACACACATTGATGCAGGGGGGGTGAAGGGGCCGCTGATGATGCCCTTCCCGCGGGTCGGTGGTCCTGGGTATCCATGTGCTCCCACGTGCTTCCACATGGAGACATCTCCCAGGCCACCAGCATCACCTCCTACCTGCATTTCACCCATCATTACTTTAAGAACAACCAGTTTTGTCATTAGCCACACAGCCCAGGCAAACTCTAAGCCATCCCTGTTCACGCTCATGTCCCATAGCTCTTTTGGGATAACAGATCCCAACCTGCACACTATTGTGCTGACAATCCGGGACACCATTCCCAAGGCACTCCCGCCCGTGGCATCAGGCACAGGTTTCCTGGAGCAATGCTGGCCCTGGAGCATTTGAGTGTGGCTATAAATAAGCAACTAAGTAAGAAAACGAACCAATCATGATCTATATAAAAGCTTTCTAGGCATTTCCTTTGGAAAAGCTGATTAGTGCTACTTGCTTCTAGTATGAGCCTCCTTTATGAATACAGCCAGGTTCTGGAACGCTCCCACTGCCTTCATTCCTCTCCCTTACGGAGTGATTTGACGGCTGTTTCTAAAGCAGTGCAGCGTCGGGGATGCCACGTTCTTGGACACAGCGGCGAGCAGAACTCGGGGCTCCAAGAAACGTTGAGCACTGCAGGCTCCTGCAGAAGACGGGACGCAGGAAAAGGTGCTGGAGTCGTGAGGAGGGCCTGGGCGCGCGGTGAACCCCGGTGCAAACACCAGCAACCAGCCCTCCGGAGGCGGCTCCGCGCAGCCAAATACAGCGCCTCATCCTCGGGGATGAAGAAACTCCCGGCCAACGGGACAAGGGGGGCACCCGGCACCACCAAGGCCTCGTGTCGCAGCCCCTGCCGCTCATCCCAGGCACTTCGGCAGGTCCCAATTGCACCTTCCGTCCCCCTCCACGTGCCCAGGCACTCTCCAAATCCCAGCCTAACCTCCTGTTAAGAGCCCAGCAGCTCGCGAGGATGGGATCTGCCAGGGCAACTCGGAGCACAGAGCCACCCGGGCACCATCCTGCCGCCAGCAGCAAACGCTCGAGGAAAGCGAATAGAGAGGATAAGTGTTGAACAAGCCCTCACACAGGTGCATCCCTTCTGCAAGCAGCAGCCTGGGAACCTGGAAGTCTCTTGGGTCCTCGGAGGCAGTATCCCCGGCTAGAAAAACTCAAGGTTTGTGAGAATTATCTGAGAAGGGGCTGGAAAACGTCAAAGCTCTCTGCTTCCCTGCCCTCCATGACCGTGATTCCTGCTACCCCACCACCATGACCATGATTCCAGCTATCCCGCCACACCCAGCGCAGTCACAGCACCTACATCCACGGTTCATGGTGCCTTCCGAGAGCACCTCCCGTCTCCCGAACTCCCTCCTCAGCGCTAGTGCACGCAGGACTCCTGCCAGGGGTGCTCGGCACCCGGGAAGCCCCCAGAACAGCTCATGCTCTGTAAATCTGGCACTGGGAATAGGAAAAAACATAGGCACCTACTCCGTTCCTTCATAAAAGGGCAGCCCCCTATCAAGCCACGCTGGTGGTACCAACTCTGATGAACCCTGTTGCACCCAGGGCTGCAGCTCCTTCATTGGGAAGAGGCAGAGAAGACGCAGCAGCCAGGGGAGACAGTTCAGGAGACCCTGAAGCAGACACCTCTCATGCCGACTGACCATCCAGAAACGGCTCCCTGAGGATTTGCAGCTCTGAAGGCCTCACAACCAACACTGCCTTTACTGCTTGGGTTGTTTCCATGCCAAGAGGGTGCAGGGTGTCACACACGTGGGCATCGTGGCCTTGGATGCAAGTTCCAGTCAAGCTGTCACCTCGCTCTGTGTGCAATATAGGCTGCATTTTTGGACTGGGTGTTTGTGGAAAGGGGATCAATTTTTCTAATGAACTCATTGCAGTAAGAATGGGTGTTTATGGCTCAGATCTGCACGATTTGGGATCCCTGCAGAGCACCTGACATTTTTCGCCTTCCCCTCATCTCCCTCCAATGAAGTGCGGCCGGCCACACAGGCGGAGGGCGAGTTTGAAGCTCCCACCACGAGGTCTGCAATGAAGAGCGCCTCCAAAGCTGGAGGATCCAAGCTATGCAAAGGCTGTCGTGGCAGGACACGGCAGGAAAAGGCTCTTGCTTCAGGCAACCAGATTGACCATTTTTGCCCTGCTCTCCACCAAAATGAAGTGAAAATCAAGAAAAAGCTCCAAGCAGCCTAGGTGGTGCTGCTCGCTGCGGGATACCTGTGGATGGAAAGAGCCCAGAGACTCTCTGCCCGGCCAAGGTTCCTAGGACACCCCAAGAGCACCTCATCCCTCGGATCCGACCACCGCAAACACCAAGATGACGACAGGAACGTGCCAGCTGATGCCCCCAACCAGCTCGTGACTTCTCCCTTCCAGCACGCAAGGACGAAGGGACAGGGCAGAATCCCAGGCACATCCCTGGGTGCCTCTGCCAGGCTCTAGCTCACGAGCAGCAACAGAAACCCCAGCAAGAAAACAAGGAGCTGCAGAAACCCAAGAGCCAGCGACCCAACACACCCAACAGCGCCTAGACCCTGTGCGATCCGAACCCGCCACCTCCCTAGGGAATCCATGTCCGATGGCTCAGCTGCAGTGCAGCTACTTAAAGGATTAGCCGAGAACGAGCGCGCTGTTAATGATTAGCATTCCCTACCCTCGTGCTTCCCGGCCCAGGGAAGCGCCTCCGGAGCCCGGGTGGGATGCCCTGCCACACAGACCAGCGCTTTCCACCTATTTCGGGAAGAGCAGCTTTGCTCCATCTATCCTGCGGTGCCCTTCCCACTTTTCCAGTGACACCTTCCTCTCCTCGTCCCGCAATGCCCTAAGTCTGTCCCCTCCCATACTGTAGTGTTAGCCGGTATCAAGGGGACAGGTGCAGCAAACATGTTTTTATCCAATAATCTCATTTTCAATTAAAATATATAATATATATTTAAAAAGGTTTAGAAAAGCCTCTATGTAATTTGCAGCTACTTTTACATATAGATTACAATAATGTACAACCCTTCCCCAAGGTGGTTTTCAACTGCGGGGACCTGCCAATTCTTTCCCCTCAATCATACACATTATCCAACAGCAAATGTATTTGTTCCTAATATAGCTCTGAAAAAGACTCTGTCGCCTGTACCTTTCTCAGAGGGAGAGATGCCTAATATGCCTAATGGGGACACGCTTAACATTGGCTTCATAATTACTGTAGAAAGTTCCCAGATTAGTAAAAAAATATTTCATCTATAGAAAATGCCCTTCTGAAAAGCAACCAGGGCTCTGTTAAGGCCACACCCAGGCTTTCCCCGGCACTGCTGCAGCAGGACAGCTCGGAAACAAACCCAAGACCATGTTGTGATGCCCCCGAAATGGCTATTAGCACCCGCGCCCGCTTTGGAGCGGTCCGGTGCGTCGGGAAGGTGCTGAGGAGAGCACGGGGGCTGCTCCGAACGTGCTTCTGCTTCGGGGGGCTCTCTTGGCACGGTGAGGCGCTGGGCATCCTCCCGCCTGCTCGCGTGGGCACGGGGAGCCTTCCTCTCCACGGCCCTTGCTGCGGGGGACGCTGGGGAGCAGGGCAACCACCAGCTCGCCGCGGGCTTCCCTCCGTAAGCTCTTCCACGTCCTCTGCACATCGGTGGGATTCCAAGTGCACATCTGGTGGCTTAAGGAAAACGTCCAACTACTTCATCCCAGGGGGCAAGCCGAGCGAGGACCTGCCCGGCCGAGGCACTGGGGACTCCCTGCCACAGCAGGGACAGGACAGCCAGGGAGACACCCCTCCAACAAGCAACTCTTCACATGGGGAAACGCTATTGCCCGGCACAGAAAACTCTGGCCGGGGCTTTTACCAGGCCTCCTCTTTGGACACGGGTCTCCCCAGAACGTCCAAGGCAAGGTGAGGTTTGTAGGAAGAGATGTGGCACGTAGCAGGATTATTCCTTTTCAACTCTTCCTGTCGCAGCCAGGTGCGGGTTGCCCCCTTCTTCCCAGGTAGGCAGCCCCTTCTGCCCTAGGTGTGGTGTGCAGGGAAGCTGTATCCAACATGCTCCGTTCTTTTCTCTGCCGGGGTGGGAAGCGAAGTCAGAACCCGATGTTCAAAACCTGAAGGACACTAGGGAAAAGAAAACAAGGGAACGGTTAGATCTCAGCTTCAAGGGAAATCCTGGATAACCAGATAAGGGATTAATTACTATCAATCTGCCCCGTGCTCCTCAAAGGATGTCTTCGTCCAGGAGGGAACAAACATAGATCACAACAGACCTTGATTGATGGAAGTCAAGTGGAGGATGCAACTGCTCAGCTCCGAGCTCCAGAGAACAATTTAAACAGGAAGACAAAACAAAAGCACAAAGGTCAAAAGTAAGTACTCCTCCTATAAGCTGATGGCACTAACAAAGCGCTGCGAGATAAGCGGGTCTAAAGGAGGACTTGGCCAGCGCTAGCAGCACTGCAGGGAAGAGGAAAGTTGCTCTTCCTCCCAAGCAGCCGCCAACACCAACAGGTAGCAAAAAGACTATGGGGTTTTTAGAGACCACACGCTAGAAGAACGGTTTACATGATCAACCACTTAAAGAAATCCCTATCTACCTACACATAAGTAAATACTTCCAGATATCCTCCCCCCAAAGCTCAGGAGAAATCCCTTCTCAGGCCTTCTGCCTCCCTCTGGTCAGAGGCAGCTTACAGGGGCAAAGCAGCAGCTGCAACTCCTTCAAATAAGCCCTGGAAAAGGTCTAAGCAGATTTAAGACGCTGACATAAAACCTCTGCTGGGTGCCTATGATCTGCTTTGGAAACAGAATAGTGAGATAAATATAGGGCACCAACTTGGTTGCATCCAGCAATAGGACAAACGGACGTGAAGGGAAATGTGAAAAGCAGCCGGATGACGAGGAACGAGCCCTGAGCTAAACAACTTAAAAAACAACTTAACACCCTAACACAGGCTGCTCTGGGAAATGGTAATGGTTGAGGGGTTATTTGTTTTCTGGAAGTGCTGGGACCACAAGTAATTAGAGCAGAGCAAGGATGACACGGGGTCCAGAGTTGGTCAGCAAGGGATAAAGGGCTCTGCAGGCCGGGCAGCCTTGGGTCTAAGGGAGCATCTCAAGCACATTGTTCTCCTGGTGGAGGTCAGCTGAACGGATGGCCTTGGTACAAGGCCTGAAGTTCCAGGTACAAACGGCACCACGGCACGGGAGAGGCCATTCTGCTCCCTCGTATTCCTCCCTGGCGTGCAGCAGGGCTCATGGAAACACGGAAGGTGCAAATGAAATGATCAAACAGGAGGTCCCTGGGGTAGTCACCGGCTACCCACACTGTCCTCCCGACTAGTAAGGGGGCACTTAGGGTGCATAAAGAAGGTCCCACGTGTTGCCCAAGGTTTGCACAACACACACACACCCCACAGCCAGACTCACCTGGGGCTACGCTGCCTTCTCCCCATCCCTTTGCTCACTGGGGTCCCTAAATCTCACTCTGCTGCCCCAACATCCAGTGCTTGAACTAGCGCCCGACAGGCTGGCAGCTCCCTCGAGCACGGCACAGCTTTTGTTCTAAAAGATCTTCTCTTGCCTGCTAAGGGAAATACTTCCCCAGCTCCACATTCACTGCAGCTACTCAAACCAGAGCACCAGCACCAACGTTTAATAACGCTTAGCGTTACACCCAAAAATCAGCTTGGAAGGTTACAGACTAAGCTAGCAGAGGACGACTCGGAAAGGTGGCTTTAATTTAATGAAAATGTACAGGAATTTTTGTCTGTGCGAGTTTAGTTTCCTAAGGAGGATGCGAAAGGAAGGCGCCTGCCATCCTGCAGCAGCAGGGATGGTCACGCTCTTCCCGAGCGATGATTTTCCAGACATGGGGTCTAATAACTCATCACAGGAACTGCTTCAGACAGAGCTGAGATGACACCACCTTGACATCTTCACAGATGCTTATGCCTGCAGTTCATTGGGTTTTTCATAACTTCTAAATTTGATTCAGCTTTTCTCCCAGTTTTCCCAATAGAAATATTTTTCCATTTCTCTCCTCTTTCTGAGAATCCCAGCCACCTCTGTCCCAGACACAGGCTACACGGGAACAGCTTTGCTTTGGGAGAAACATTCCCTCCCATCCACCTCAGGGATTCCAGTACACAGATAAAACTCCAGAGCTTCATAAAACACAAAAGGCAAAGATAATCCAAGGACAGAAAAACAAGACTTAAAAAAAAAAGCATGTATTGAGCAGGGTCACCGTCACTTCTTGGGTGCAAAACTGCTTAAAACTGTTTGAGGAACTGTAGGAGTTGCACTTTCTGTCGATAAACCATCACGTTTCAGAACTTTCTGCTGATAAACCATCGCGTTTCAGAACTTTTTCCAGCTCTCCTTTACTAGTGAGCACGTTTCTAGCACACACATTTCCTGTTAAGAACTTCATCTTCTCCCCCAAACAGATGAATTATAGCAACGTTTTTACCAGCATTAGGTACTCTGATAAGCATTCCTCCAGCTTCTCCATTTTATATGCTTAAAATATAAGAATATATACACACCCCCCTGGAATTCTACAGGCAGGGGTCTTATGCATACAACCCAGGGAATCAATGCACCTGGGACCACAGGACATTACACAGCATCCAAACATTAGAAAACAAGACCATGGAAAATACCTGACCCCCTAGAATGAAGGCATTCCCGGGGAGGATGCCCGAGCCAGCGCAGGATGCAGATTCACACGAGCTCAGAACAGCGTCCCGGGGAAACGGCGCTGAAAAGCCACAGTCCCTGCCGCTAACCTCGGCCTCGACGCAGATGAAGAGCACTGATGTCAACAGAAACTGTCTTTGAAACCAAAACTGAATTTCCATACCCAACCTGACGTGAAGATATTCAGCTCAAGACAGCTATTCAGTAACCCAACGAGACCACAGGCAAAAAGGACGAGAATGTAAGATGCTCCATGAGGAAACAGGGAAAGTCTGACAGATTCTCCCTCTCTTTCTACTCTTTACTCAAGAGTGAAATTGTAAGCACTGTGTGCAAATTTGGATGGAATCAGTCAGAGACAAATTGTGTTAAAAGAAACAATCTAGGACAGTGCACCAATGCACTGGCAGCACTTCAGGAGCAACGTGCTCAGAGCACCACGAGCTCTAAGGACAGCATTTCACTTTGTCTAGACCCTGCACACTCCTCTAGGATGGCTGCACCAAGGCAGAACAGAAACACATTTAGCTTAATATTCAATATTCAGCATGTCCAATAGCAATAGACATCCCAGGAAAATTTAAGTTGGAAGGAACTTTCAGATTTCACCTAACCCAACTCCTACTCAAGTCTGGACCACCTTCCAGCTGCTCAGGTGTCTTGGAAAGAGGATGGAGCTTAAGTACATGAATATTTATCAATATTTCCTCAGCCTCTATCATTTTTTCCTGCACCCGAGGCAGAAGCTGCAGTTTGCCCTCATTTCTGCTCAGCTGGATGGTATTATTGCTTGAATTTGCAACACTAAAAAAATATCATAAATGTCTCCTAAACAAGAAATACTCTTGGTAAGGCTTCCACTTTCCAATGTGCCGCTGTCCATAAAAGAAATTGCCCATTTGCTGTTAGCTGTTAGCTACCTGAGCTACCTGAGTGTAAAACACGCCGCCAATTCCATTTCTCCAGTTCTTTGACTGCCTCGACACATAACAAGGTACAGATGGTTGTTTATTTACCTGTTTACAAGGGTGTCAACCCTTAAAGAAGGCATTTTTACCTCTGGCTCTCCTATACACTATTTACCAAGCCAATTCTAGAAAGCTTTGTGTAAATATGAAAGATTAGTGAAGAGAGAGCTTTGCCCTTAGTAAGTTAAATCCATGAACCTTGGTTTAGCATTTTCTCCTTCTAAGATGTCACAACGCACTCGGAAACGTTTTACGCAGAAAGTACCCACACTTCCAAAGAGGTACCTTTATTTCACTAATGTGGTTGGACCCAGAAATCTTCTCAGACAGGGCAGCTCCTGCTATAGAGCAGAATTTTACTTAACTAGACCTACCTTTTTGTGCTCCTGAAGTTAACTTGGTACCCAGGTATGGTTGGAGGCCTGTGAGGTGCTGGGATAGCTGGGAGTAGATAGAATGGGTTCGAAATTAAAGTCCAGTCCTTCTCCATCCATGAGGTCACTGTTGATTATGTAATCCATATCACATTCAAGGTTCTCCATGTACATGTCAATGTCCAGGTCAGTGGGCAGCCTGTCCTGGTTCAATCCCACAGAAACAGGGCTAACAGAAGAAAGAAGCGGTGGGGTGCCCAGCTGGACTGACTGGGCAGCTGCTGCAGAAACTGGAGCCTTCAAACTGGCCATGCTGGCAGTGTTCTGAGGAGAGGCTACCATGGGAAGTGTTGATGGCAAAACACTGGCACCAACTGGCTCTGCCTGTTGCTCCGCAGGCTTTCCTCGGGGATTACCTGGGCTCATCTTACTCTGGCCAGCTTGCCCACCTAGAAGCAGGAGAGTTCGGTTGCTCATCCTGCTACCAGTCTGTGGGAGAACCGGGTCCACCTGAGTCATCAGAACATCCCTCGGAGGCGGAGAGCTGGGTGTCAGAAGAGCTTCCAAGGTCTGCGGGCCAGAGAAGTGGCTGACGGGGCTCTGCAGCGAGATGTCGACGGGGTTGAACAGGGAATTGCCAAAAGTGGCCGTCTGACCAGCTGCGTTTGGGCTCCGCAAGGAAAAGCTGGAATCTCTCTGGATGGGACCACTCGAGGCAGACTGCTGCGTTGAGAGCACAGCCGAGCTGGGGGACATCAGATTCAACCCATCAATGAGCTCAAGCTCCTCGGTCACGGTTGGTGGAACGTTGCTGGACGCGCTGGAGTACACCAGAGAGGGGAGCAGCTCTTCGTCATGGAGGTCATCCTGCTCGGTCAGGATAGGAGAAAGCCTGGCACTGATGGTGCTCGCATTGGAACTGGTTCGAGGCCGGAAAGTGTTCCACACATCAGAGTCCTCGTTACTCCTTGAGGACGGGCTCCCAGGCCACTTGGGGAATTGGGAGCCGGGACTGTCAGCGGTGGCTTCTGAAGTGGACTGTAGAGAAGCCTTCTTTTTGGATGCTTTGCCTCTGACTTTCGCAAGTTTGCTGCTGTTGTCCATGGAGGCAGCTCTTCTTCTTGGTGCTTTTCCGCTTTTACCACCTTCAGGATTGAGCATCCACCAAGAACTCTTGCCTGTGGCTTCATTATGAACTTTAATGAACTTGCTGTGCAGGGACAGGTTATGTCTAATAGAGTTCTGAAAATAAATACAAAATAAGAGGACTTAACATCATACTTCCCACATTAATATAAAGGTATTAAGACACTACCTAGAGAAGAAAACTGTCACAAAGATCTACCCATACAAAACCTGCTGGTTCACCTTGGAAATGCTTGTCAGCATCAGCAAGGAGTGCAATGTCTCTCTGCAGAAGTAGCAAGGGTGAAGATATCAACGCAACTACCAGCCTCCCATTACCATCTTCATTCCCAGAAGACAAAAAGAAGAAACACTGTGGAGCAGGAGCCCTGGCAAGCCTGGAAGCTGCCGGCCTCCCTCTCCAAGGAGGCAACGTGTTCCTGTGTGCATCTCCAGCGGGGGCAGATGTTCAAGCAGATACCGCACTCCCACACTGCACATGCCACTCGGCCTCTCCCACCTTTCCACTTGGCAGGGCACATATTCCTGGCCCTTTCCATTCCTCCCCTCCTTCTTCTCTTTTGCTTTGCTACAAATTGCAGGCTGACACATCTATAAGCCGCTACCAAAGCAAATTTGTGGCCTGCAGATTTGCTGATAACCCCCCCAGTCCGTTACAACCAGCAAGCAATAATCACAAGTCCCCCTTGAGATGTGCGTGGTGGTTTGTTTAATATTTGCATCTGATTTGTGCAGATGGTCAAACCACACATAGTTAAAGGTGCTGCACTGGTAGCGCAAGGATCCAAGAATATCTGCTATTCATATAGCATTATATTCATATAGCATTTATATTCATACAGACTGAGCAGGCTACAGCAGTCGGCAGCCTTTGTGCACGGGATCTGAATTTGGAACCAAGTGAACTGCTTTTATCACCCTTTTCCACCACCTCTCCACAGAGTTCTTTCCTGCCTGGTGCTTTCCTTTTCCCCACCCTTTTCCTCTTTGACAAGTCCTTACTGGGCTAATTTTGTCCATCTCGCCAAAAGTGCTGTCCTAAAACGAAGCAGACGTAGATAAACAACAGCGGGAAAGGGGAGAGTTGTCACGGAAAAGGACGGACACGTGAGGGCGGTTCTGCCTTCGCTCTCCATTGAATCTTTCGCTGACGAGGTCTTGGAAAAGAGCGTGTGGCTGCTTGGGATGAGTATTAAAAGGATTCGGGGCTCTTGCTCAGAGCCCCACTAGGGTTTCTGTGAGGGTCAAACCGGTGTCCATGTCCTTGGGCAGCCCCATGGCTCGAGTTCTTCACTGCAATAGCTACACAGCATGTCTGCCTGCCCCCGAATTTATTTTTCTCCTTCAAATTACAAGAAAAATAATTCAGACTGGTGCTCATCTCCTGAGAAAGCTGCTGCTTTGATTGGCAAAGATTTATCCCTCCCCTAGGAGGATGTTGATGCCAAATAGAGGCTGTTGCGGCAGCGGAAGAACAAACATGAAGTGCTCCCACATTCCTCATTCATTCTTCCAAAAGGGATCTGAAATTTGATCCATCGGGAAGGGCTCTGATACCCACAGCGTAAGCTGGGAGTTGCACAACCACCGAGTTCTCCCTTTACTGAACCTGGATTTTAAACCAATAGGTTCATAATTGTAGACTATTTTCTGCTAGTTATCACTTATGGATACAGCCAGGTTTTAGGTCCCCGTTGCGAGTGGCAGTGCAGGCCTTTCGGTGGCCCTGAAATCCAAAGAAAAGGGACTCTCACTTCTGGCCCTGTAAAGGGAAATTTCAGTAACTAGTTTTCTCGTCTTTTGGCTGAAAAGAAGCTTGAAACGAGACATCTCGAAATCAAGCTGGCATTCCCAGTAACACAGATAGGAGAAGCTGGTACCTTTTACACCGCAGAGTCTCAAAGTGTTTTTATGCGTTTCTGTTCAAGTGACATAATGGCCAATACCTGCAGAAACTGGTAATTGCTGCAGCTCCCCTTCCTTCCTCATCTCCTAAGCCTACCTCCCACTAACACAAGCATTTGTTCCATTATAACCCGGTTCAGAGAGCTAAACCAGCCCCAAAGTGGCCCTATCCCCTCCTTGAAAATCACTTTTTTCCTGCCTGCTTTGACATATGGAACTTGCTCCCAGGGCGCTCAGCCCCCAAGAGGGAAGTAGGGACGAGAACATCTGGCATTGGCAGAGGAATGATCAAAAAGTAGGAAGTTTGGGGGAGCGTAGGGGACTCAAGTGACTCTCAGCACCGGGAAGGGCCCCCGGCGCCGCAGGGCACAGCAGGAAGGCTCCTCTACCCCCAGCTTTCCCACCTTAGCGCCCAGCTCTGCAGCACTAAAGGGCATCTGCTGCAGTGAGCTAAACCACCTTGCGTACAGGGGGCACTCTCAAACCTCCCAGTGAGCGGGAACGGGGCTAAAATAACGGTGCCAGCGCCGAGCTGACAGCAGGGGAAGTGACAGAGCCGAGTCGTCCCGGCAACCCTGACGTATTTCCTTGCTCCACGTTAGGCAACCCGAGCTGCAAGCCCAGGTGAAGCTTTTCACACGCCCGCCTGGGATGCACTGCGCTGCTGCGCCTCGGCAGCGCTCACACTTTAGCTCTGCGACATCTGCCACCCTAAGGAAGTGTTTAGAAGGAAGGAGGTCCCATTCCAGCCCCTCAGGAGCCCCTCGGCAAGGGACGGTGTGGGGACGGGGCTGCTGCCTCTTCAGACCCTGTCTCGGAGGTTCTGGAGGCCAAGTTGTTCCTCGGAGCTTACTGCAGGGTTTGTGGCATGCCAAGCCCGCAATGCAAAAACACCAGCCCGGGTCTGTCGCGGATCAAAGATGATTCCTATAAACCACATCCAGGCAAAACGGTGATGAAATTCATGGCAGATATTATGCAAAACTGAAGCTGCGCTGGAAACATTCACTCACATTCACCCGAGCCCGGCTCCGCGTGCAGAAGACGGGACACACGGCAGCACCAGAGCAGCGTGTCCGGCACTTCCACAAACCACCTCCTCATTCCCAAATAGCTACCACAGCCTTGCAGCTTCTTTGACAGGAATCTCCCAGCCCTCTTTAATGGAGACAATGGCTCCTTCTCGTTGCAAGGGGCTGGTTTCAGCAAGTAGGTGCTGGACCCCACACAACTTGGGCACGGAAAGATCTCCAGTTGAAGGATCAGCCACAGGAGCTGGCAGCACAACCGGACAACCAGCTCGGCCCTTGCAGGCAATCCAAGACACTGAAATCCCTGCAGCGAAGCCGAGCACTTCACGTCCAGGCCAGCACCAGCGGGAGCCTCTCCAGACACCTACGCGCAGAGGCCCCAGCTTACCGACCATAAAACTGCTGGTTTTCTCTTGGTGCAGCTGCCATCCCGGAAAACCGTGCCTGTGTCCATCTGAATTTTCACAAGCCAACACCACGGAAAACATCAAGCTCCTATGACAGACCACGGAAGCACCAGGATTCTCAACAAAACACCTCCCTGGCATGAATGATAGAAAACACCAGAAAATTCCAACGTACAATCCCGGCTGCTCCCTCTCATGCGCTCCCGCTGCCTCGGAGCGGCAACAAACCCGCTCGCATCCCGGCGCGGGGCCTGTTCCAGCGCCAGGTCTCTAATTGTGCTCAATTATCATCCGCGCTGGCATCCTCGGGAGGCTGTGAGGAGGCCGCCCCGCCTCGCACATTTGCCAGTGCCTGTCTCGGCGCTCACCCCGCCACTTTGATCCAAAAAACCCTTTTTTTTTTTTTCCAGGAAAAACGTCTTCGCTGCAGAGATTTTTGCAAAGTTGCACTGGACTTTGCAAAAACTGCACTAAATTCAGTGCAACTTCCCTCCTCTTGCAGGAGGCAGGCACCGCGCTGGGGACACACAAAGCTGCAGCTTATCAAGAACGTTTTCCTTTCTGCAATCTCTGCATCCAAGGAGAGTTCAAAAAAAAAAAAAAAAAAAATCCCAGTTCTTTAAATAGAAAGACTGCAGCCGTTTGCCAGTTTGCTAAAACATGCAAGTGCAAACACCAAAAGCTACTGGCTTGGGCAGAGCAGAGCAAACCTGCTGGAACAAGTCACACCAGCACCACGCGAGGAAGGGCCTTCACTGAGAAATGCCTGAAAAATTCAGCCCCAAACGCGCTGCCAGGGCACGGGGAAGGGCAGCAGTAAAACCCTGGGGTGGTTTGTCTTGCATTGCACGGGCCAGGTAGCTTTTCACCAAAAGGGAGCACTGGGAACACTTGCACTTCAAATAATGTGTATACTTGCTCTCTGACATGCTTATATGGGGCAGTGCACCTGGAGGGGTCGACGAGGGCTCGTGTCACTTGAGATAACGAGGTGAGAACCTGTGATGGTTGATAAACTAAAAATGGGGAGTAAGGGTGTAAGAAAGCCAAAAGCAGGATAGAATGACTTCAGCTTTACATTTCCTCTGGCTTTATGCATTTGGAGCCTGAAGTTGGCTTTGTCTTGGGGAGCAAAGACAAAACCATCTCCAGTATCTTCTCAAACCAGCATCTTGAAACTACAATTACCCAAAGCCCAAAGGGAACCTGTGAAAAGCCTTTACAATAATAGACACTTGTTTCTACAAAAAAGGCTTTTTTGTGAAGTACAAGGAGCTCCTGCTGCTGCTTTGGGCCTTCACTTGCCCACGCTAAGGCGCAATCTTTACAAGTCTTAGCCAAAGATCTGAGATGTGCAGAGCCCAGTGCAGATGAGCAAGTAGCCAATGCGGTTATTCTAGGAACTGACCATTACTTTTTGAAGATGCGCCCTCAAAACAGGCAGCAGCTGATTGCCCAGTGGTCAACGAGCAAAGAAATGATCAACTTCATCTTTACTAAGGGAAGTCTTCGTTTAATTTCAGATCCACTGAGCTGGAACTCATTTGCAAGGCATAAGGACAACCAAGCTGATCCTACCAGCCCCAGCACAGTGAGAAGGGTCTAAGAACATGAATTAGTCCTGCTTGGGTCTTCCGGGATGGCCATAGCAGGAGCTACCACTTGAAGATGATGCAGCTCTGTGTGCTCTGCCAGAAGGTCCCTTGTCACTTCCAGGAGGTGCCCAGGGACCTTCGTAGCCAGTGCTATGGTTGGGAAGCCAGGGAAGCTGCTCTGATCTTACACAGAACTGCAGGCTACACGGGAGGAACTGCCAGAGACGCGGCCCAGCTCTCCTGACCCCAGCAGCCGTTGTCACCTACAGACAACGTGTGTGTAGCTCAGGGATGTTCTTGAGCAAAACAGCAGTGAGAGCCACCTCGTAGACAACAGCCCCGTGTCACAAGCAGAGCACCCATGGGATCCCAGTTAGCAGCACGTACTCGAGTTAAAGCGAACGCCAAGTATCCGAATGCAGGGATGGCAGCTACACCACCCACACTGTCCTCCTGATGCTGTCCTCCAGAGTCGCTGCATGTGCAACATAAAGGGAAAGGGGTGAGTTTTGCTGAGGTGAAACATCTCTGGTAGGCAGAACGGACGATTTACAAGTCATTAAATTCCTTTAAAGATAAAGCAAGCAGTTTGGGGACAGCGTGGCACATGCCACAGGGAAAGACCAGCCCTGAAGAGCACGCAGGGTCACAGGGAGCTTGCTCACGCTCTTGGAACCAAGGCGTTTGGAAGCAGGGCACACAAACTGCTTCCAAAGGGTTTATGCCCTTTGGCCAAATACAGCAGAGCTTTATTCCAAAACCTTAACACCTTCCTCCCCCAAACAATCCAAAAGCCAGGGAAAAAATATCCTCTTATCCACAGAGCAGCTTGCAGGGCGCCGAGGAGCGGATTATGAAGAAGTCCAGGGCTGAACTCCTGCTGGGCTGGGACACTTCTGCCTCTCCACCCAGCTAATTCTCAACAGCAGCTGAGAGGTAGCAGGGAGCAGGTAGACTGCACAGCCAGCAGAACTGCCACTGTGCAGAGCACTTTAGCCCGTTCAAGAACGGCAAACAGCACCTTCCTCGAAAACACAGGTTTTCCGGAATTCACAAGGTCACACCCTTACAGTTTAACAGTTGCATTTCCCTCAATTGTACCCTGCAGTGAAACAGCTGTCATTTTCAAGTAACGACGACTTTATGCATTTTATATTCACAAAAGGGGACAAAGTTCCTTTAGTTTTCGATTTAAACCTCTATTAGAGCTACCCCAACACAGGCAGGGCAGACCAGCACGGTGCTGCACAGCAGTACAGAGCTGTAGGAGCTGCAGATCATCTTCAGCACCTTTCGACAAGGGCAACTACTAAGTTTGCTCAGCCCACAGAACGAAACGACTTGACTTACTCAACACCTTTTAAACTGCACATTTCTCACCCATTATAATCTCATGCACCTTAGCGCAAATCCCTTTAAAAATATTATTCACAAAAATAATATTTACCACAAGCAAATGAGAAGGCTTCATGAATGACAAGTGGACCGGAAAGGCAGGGAAGGAAGAAAACGGGAGCACAGGGAGTTCCTTTTGCTTCCCTGGACACAGTTGCTTAGCTAGCACTGTACCACCTATACACAAAAGCGGACTTGGACAAGATTTAAAAATATAAAATGAGTTTTTAGGGGAGTTTCCCCATGTCTTTAAATAGCTTAAGTCGTATTTCCACCCCTAGTTTTCTGCTTTCACCACCTGAAAGCCAAAATACGACAAAATAACAGTGCTAGAGTAGGGTCCTCTCATGCTTATGCAGAGAATTCCTCTCTCTGCCTCCCTACAGATTAAATACATGCTGAAATCCTAACGTAAAGCCAAAGAGACAACTTCATATTAAGGACTATAACAAAAAACTGTTGTGCTGAATCAAGTCCATCTATACTAGCATCCAGTGATACCTCACTAAACTCCTCGAGCTTCCCAAAGGATATCTTGGGACCCATTTAAGATGCCGTGCTGAACCTTGGTCTGTTACCTACCCCCAGAGCCAGGTCCTGCAGCACATCCCAGAGTCCCAGTCCCCGCTTAACTCCACGTGCCAGCTCCACCAAGCCAGGATGCAGAGGACTTGATCATTCATATCCATAACAACCAAGAAGTCAGAAAAAGAGGACACAAAAGAGCATTCCTGCCGCAAACCCAGCGCTGCCAAAGCAGATCCACATTCCTGGAGAGAAAACACACTAATGTGACGAGCTGTTTGAAAAAAACAGCACAGCTCCACGCAGCAGCAGGACCAGCAGAGCTTGCCTTCGCCTGCGGAGGCACAAACTGCCTGCCAGCAAGACCATCAATCCTGCTGGAAGAAAGACAAATATACACGAGCACCGTCCCAGCCCTTGTTAAAGGGAATTCAACCGGCATAAAGCAGGAGAACAAAAAATGCATAGCTGATTTTAGTGAAACCACTTGCTCTCTCTAGGAACCTACGGTGAGCTGCACAAGCGAGCAGGGTGAAGGGTTTTATGGGAACCAGTACCAGCCTAACTGGGACAGCGACACCCCTCTCACACGCTCCTATCTTCTCCCGAGCAAACACCAGCATTCAAACAACTGCTCCGAGCGCCGCGCCAAACAGGAGAATCTGACAGAGAAAACAATCCATTCGCTCTAAAACCCCAGCTTTGTAAGCCGTCTTGCTGCATGGCCAAGCAGCCCTCGGTTGCGGGCCATGGAATGCCCATCCGGAGCCGCGGGAATCCCGAACCGCACGGGCTGGAGCTGCCGCCGCGCGCGGAGCTGCAAACACGGGCAGCGAAGTGCCGGGGTAATTCCAGGCCGCAGCAGCAGGTCACACGCTTGAGATTCCAGGCGCTCTGGCACCCGCTCTGCTGCATCACGGCAGCACAAGGGACTGTTTCACAAGGCAGTTCTCGCGTCTCCCTTTCTGGGCGCTCGAGCTCGCTTGGCTAAACAGAGCGGGACGCCCGGCGGCCACCTGCAGAACGGGAAAGGAAGGGAGCTCCCACACCGGAGCACGTGCCTGGCGCCGGAGCGACAGCGGGGAGCATTCGGAGAGCCCGGCCAGCACATCACCACGGCCACTCTCGCTGCTCCCGACCCCGGCCAGGATTCCCAGCTGCTCCATATGGGTGCTCACAGGGACGCAGCACCCCTTGTGCACAGAGGCGCCCGAAGCCAGGAGCGCCACCCATGATCTTTATTCCTCCAGGGCTTCAGCGGCTGCTAAAGAGCCGCAGCACTGCATGCAAAAGCCCTGCACCCACACGTGCCGTTGCGCGGCGGCGCCGAGCTCCGGAGCCCCTGCTCCTGTTGTGGCGGAGCTGACGGGACACGGCACCAACCAGGAGCTGCGTGTTGCGGCGAGGCCGCCCGTGGCACCGGGCACCAGCGCAGAGGGCACCGGGCCGCAGCCTTCGGGCCCCCCTCCCCAGGGCCACCTCCCGCCGGGTCCCCCCGCACCTTCCAGCCGGCGGAGCTGTTGCTGTCGCCCTTGTCCTTGAAGTAGGGCACGGAGCGGACCATCCACTCGTAGATCTGCGCCAGCGTGAGCCGCTTCTCCGGGGCGCTCTCGATGGCCTGGCTGATGAGCTCCGCGTACGACTGGTTGCCCCAGGCGTTGCGCCGGGAGCCGCCCTTCCGCGCCGCGGCCGCGCGCGCC